GAAATAAACGCTGCCAAACAGCCTTTGTCATCTGAGAAACGGTACTGCACGGCGTCCTATCAACTTTTAATGACTGAAAGCAGAGCCTGTGAGTTTGGGAATATGAGTGACAGTTCAATATTTCAGTGGGAGGTACGGTTAAAAAGGCTCAAAATCAGTACAAGCTATGGCTGGAAAGGAGTAAACAGGAGGATGTGATTATATTGAATAGTAAATCAAAACTGCTGCCACTGACAAAAATGAAAATGTGAGTAAAGCTGAATGATCAATCTTCAGTATCAAAGGTGTTCAAAACTCTATTTGGAGTCATGGTGTTTCTAATAAATCAGTCATCATGCTTCCTCAAAAAATTGGTATATTAAAAAGTAACGGACAAGCGTATATAGGTGGGAAAAATACTAGCGACAGTCCTTAAAAAAATCATCAGAGAGGACAATGGGCTTCTTTTGGCCCAAAGGGTCTGAGAGGTTGAAGATCCTGAGAGAACTGCTGATTAGTTGGTGTGCTCACTCAGTCACATCACCTCCAATGATTGAACTGAGAGCAGATATGCCCCTATGGGTTTACTTTCCATTTTATTTAAAGTCTTCTAGAAACTCATATAAGATGAGACTGTTCCTACAAACATCTACCTGGAAATGGTTCAGACTCTGTCAACAGTGCTTATTTAAAGGAATTCATTTAAACTCAATCGACAGCACTCGTGGCATAATTAGGGCCCTAACAAATGTGTTTTATTTTTTCCCCAAATTCTATTTTTCTGGATTTTGATTTGATGGTTTAATTAAATCCATTTTTAATAATCAAAATGATTTCTAATGAATTGAATTCATAAAACTTTTAATAACTTATTGAACATTTAAGAATAATAGTTCCCTATTAAATGTATTCTTTTTACATTCTGTGGTGTTTTTTCTGGATTCTGTGTTTTATGATGTAATACAAATGTATTATTACAAACAATGGTAATAAAATCAGTGCATAAAACTTCAACCATTTAAATGTTTTAAAATGTAATAAATGAAATTTGAACAATACCTTTCATTTTTTGGCAAACAAAGAGCTGATGTTTACTGTTTAAATTAAAACATGGACCAAAAATAAGTATTATTTGGTATTCCTTAAAAATGATTAATAATAAAATAATAAACTATTTTTTTGTTGTTGTTATGAGTTTGAAATGTACATTTTGCTGTACAATAGTAATATATTTCTGTCTTTTTTTTTTTTTACATTAAACAGAACTTTTTTTGTCTTAGTAGTTTTATTAAATGAAATGGTGAAATGCTTGTGAAGTGAATTCTTAGAGCAGCTCTGGAGAGTTTTGTCATATAGTGGGATCGCAGATGCTGAAAACACCACAAGTGTCACGCCAGCTTTAACTATTGTGTCTTAGATGAAACTGCACAGCTCATTCACCCAGAGAAGCAGAATATGTAGACTTTATATTTAATTAGTGATAACCTAAAAATGATGAGAACAACTTTTCAGGTCTAAAAATACACATGCAAGTGCTTTTATAAAATTACAAGCTTCACATTTTTGCTTTTAAATCCTTCAGAAATTGCCCCTTTCATTCTAAGTGCTTCACTGTAACCTCAATTACTTTTTAAAGAAAACAAGGGAGGAGTTGCATTTTTTTAAAATAGTAATCAAAATTATGCCACAACTGCTGTTGATTGAGATTAACTTGCACTGAACCCTGAATATTCCTTTAAGGGTGATATAAGTCTGTCACAAAAGGTCATGAACTTCATCATCCTCAAACACGGCAAGACATGAGGCATTAGTGTATCATTGGGCATGCAGCTGTTTATGAGGTTGATTTAAGTTTTGCCCCAGGCTCAGAGGAACAGATGACAATGAGGGGGTCATCTGGACTCAAAACAGTATATTACTTAAAGGTCCCATGGCATGAAAATTTCACTTTATGAGGTTTTTTAACATTAATATGAGTTCCCCTAGCCTGCCTATGGTCCCCCAGTGGCTAGAAATGGCGATAGGTGTAAACCGAGCCCTGGGTATCCTGCTTTGCCTTTGAGAAAATGAAAGCTCAGATGGCCCAATCTGGAATCTTCCCTTTATGTCGTCATACGGGGAAAGGTTACCTCCCCTTTCTCTGCTATAAAAGCATCCAAAAAGCAGCATGTCATGGGACCTTTAAGCTCAATAAATACACATTGGGGGCAAGGCACCCTGCTTAGAGCTCCCATTAAAGGGCTGCCGGGATATCTGCATAAAAAGAATAAATATAAAAATGTGTCACTGCGACGAAGATCCCAACCCCCCACCCCACCACACCACCAACTCTGTGATGTGACCATACATGCAAATTGCTCATTATCATCCACGTCTTTCTCTAAAGCCTGCAGCAATGCATGCACAAATACATCCGCACACAAACATACATCTACATACACACTATCCTATCCATACATAAGTGAACAGGCTGATAAATAGCAAAAATATGCATATTTTAAAAGCATACGATGTAAGAAAACCGTATGAGATATTAGAAATATCAGGTTTTTCATCAGTTTTGATGTCAAAACGTAAACAGAGATGTGCACAAGACAATGAATAAACTGACAATATCATTACAGGTATTTACATACAAAAAAATATGGATAATTTACTGTGTACTCATATTAAGCAATACATACTATATAGCAAATCTCGGCTGTGTGCTTGTTTATGTTGTCGCAAAATGAAAAGTGGATTATCGCTCAGCTCTGTATATAAAGTTGGATTATATCCAAATTTATCCACGTACATACAGCATACTCATATAAAATAATATATACTACATAGCAAATCTCAATTGCTTCACTTTTATTTAGTTGCAAAATGTAACTATATTATCGCCAAACTCTTTATAAAAAGTTGTTTGTATATGTAAACATAGATACAGTATACTTGTGAAGGGCTATATATACACACTATACAGCATATGTCAACAGCTTGATTGCTTGTATTGTTGCAAAATGCAAACTATATTATCGCCCAGCTCTAATCTGCTAAATGTGACTATAAGGCATCACAATATTAAGATATTTTAAACATAATCATTTTTCTGTAAAGCTGCTTTGAAACAATGTGTAATGTGAAAAGCGCTAGGAATATAATGGGCATATCAGGTTTAGCTTAAACTGGTTATGACCAGTATATACTCAATTAAAAAGAAAACTGTTTAAGCAGTTTATGTGACCTTACATTGTCAAGTTATTAAGAATAATCCGTTTAGGATTATGCATGTAAACACACTTATTGACACAACACATACTGGACGACCTATGGAGACCTATGTCTTTGCTGGCAGATCATGTTAGAAAATGTGATCAATGCGATGAGAAAGTGAGCAGAAAGACATGGACGTCTCACTCTGCTTCTTGAGACATCACATCAGCAGAGCCACACGCACACACGCATCTTTATCTGTCTCTCGCTGTCTATTTCTCGCTCTGTGCCGCCCGCCCACAGTAGAAGCCGGACAGTTCGAGTCAGTGCTGCTGCACTAATTCTTGGACTGGCTGTGAGCGTGTCCTGGGGAAGGGAATACAAATCAGGCTTTACTATACAGTCAGGCAGAGCTGGCCTGGCTCCCAGGAGCCTGCCGTGCAGGCCGTCTGTGGCCTAGGCAAAAGTTGACAGGAAGGAAACCAGAGCCTTCGGCTCTCAGCCTCCACTGGGGCTCATGGCCCTCACAGAAGCGGATTATTACTGTAATAATCACCCAATTTGGTGAGGCGCCACTCAACAGAACCGCACATTTTGCCTCTTCCAGCACTAACATCAGTCTGTATGCGCATCAGTCTACGTACAAGCACAGCAAGCAACACCCACACTTATCCTTGAGGGTAAAAACAATGTATTGTATGCTACAGCATATCGTGCAAACCCACAAAATCGACATGAATGTCAGGCTGACAAATGTGTTTCTCTGTATAAAACAAATTCAAGTTGATTATTTATAACAGCACTACACAGTGCTGTGGTAGTTCAATTCAAAATCCAAGGAATACGTGCTTCTGGTGTTTCTGTGCATGCTTTGGCTTTTTGGCCAACATTATATTACATGTATACACTTGTACAAAAAAAAATCCAAAAGGGGTGATGCCATAGTAGAAACATTTTTGCATCTCCAAAGAACTATTCAGTGAGCTTTTCCTAAAAGAGACGTCTTTTCTTGAAGACCATTAATCTAAAGAACCTTTTATTTCCACTATAAAGAACAGTTTGTGCAATGGAAAGATTCTATGAATGCTAAAATTTCTTTGTGGAACCATTGATGCAAATAAAGTACCTGCATTTTTAAGAGTTATTATATATCATTATATTAAAATGTTATTATGAAATTTATAATTCTAAATAAAGCCAGAAGAGACAGAATCACTAATCTGTTCACTAAAATCATAGCATGCTATTTGTCTTAATTTGATTTGATGCTGAAGTGCTTGATTAGATTATGCTCTTTTTTTTTTTTTTTCACACGCATTGCTGAAATGTTTGATTAGATCATGCTAATTTTTTTTGGCATGCGCATATGGTGTCTGCACGTGCCAAGAGCGAAAGCGCATATGCCATGATCCAAATATTCTCAGGCCGGTGCTTTTTTTTTTTACGCTATACTTTATCAGTCACACTAGACTTAGTGGTGTCCACAACATGTGTGCTTGGACTCTCCAAAAACCCTATTACATGCGCTTCTTCTACACTTTTAATCCAGCTCATTAGCATTATTAGTAATCGGTTATGCCATCAACTGCTCATAACCGGTTCGAGATTACTTCGGGGGGTCACGTTCGAGGCATTTCAAACTCACGCTCTCTGAGAGATGCTGGAGCCGTTACGCATAACGCATCATCAAGGATGCCCACGCGTCCCGCCTCTCCACACAAAGCACTATTAACCCTTCCAGCATCATTATTATCAGTTTTGTGAGTCCATCACACAGAAATAGCTCGTTTGTTGACACGTAATTAGTCACTCGGCTTTCTTACCGCTTGTTCCCAGCGCAGTTGCTCATGGACGCGCTGGTGGTTCCTTGGAGCGACGATGGCCAGGACATGCGGGACTTCTTGAGCCCCGGCCGGTCACTCGTGTCCATGGCATTCGAGCGCTCCATCTGTCGGTGGTGATGTCGGTCGGTGTCAGAGTAACCGCGATGTTTGATTTTGATGGGGGTCCGTGGCTGTCTCCACAGATGCTGGGGAGGCTTGAGGGTCGCCTGTCCCTCCCGGGGAACCGGCAGCGAAAGAGACAGGCTCTTTTTAGAGCAAGGTGGCTGTTCCATCATAGTGCAAAATTAATCGATGTTCGGAACGCAACGTGTTAAGGGGAATAAAAACAATATGGCTATGTATTCGTTAAGAAATCAACCCGTCTACTGTCCGTAGCTGACTAGTCGCCATGTCTAACAGCGGAATGTATTGAAAGCAGGTCCAAAGGCAATACAGACTCAGTGCTTTTGTGGGAACTAATCACAGTGTTCAGATAACAGGTGATGGCGCAATGTCGTCCTGTCTTCTTGTCATCTCCGCAATTATGTCGATGGTAAATCCAAAAAGTTCCTGTGTATCAGAGAGGCTCCACTTTAAAACATCACAAGGCGTCGTAGCATCCGCGCGGGTGAAGCTCTTCCCCTGAAGTTTGTCATAGCGCGTCGGGTCACTTATGTTGAGTAGGGATTTATTGCTTTTATCAACCCTCCAGACTGGTTTCCTGCCGCGATTATTGCTGCTAAAGACCGCACATGCCTCTCCAAGCTCTGGTGTCTCCAACTGGAGCCATGAGAACTCTGCGATGAGGAGCAATGTTGTACATATGGAACTAACGGCGACTAAAACTCAAGCTCGCTGTCAAGCTCGCTGTTTAGCCTCCATTAAAACCTCGCCGCGAACAGTTTCATTAGGCGAATCATGTTGAATTTTGCCTGGAGAACAGCGCGCGTGGGATGATGGATGTATGAGAGATCCATGCACGCGGCATTTTCGCGTCCTCGCTTTCCTCTTTCTTGAAGCATTCGTTCAATTCCGCGAAATCATGATTGTAAGTCAAAGTTCACCGATCTTCGTGCTGTACTTTACTTCGTTTTGCCGTCTTATCTCGCTCGTATCAATCAGTTGTCGACAGATGTTAAATTATGGCATTTGAGAAACACTGTGCCGTCTCTCTCTCTCTCTCTCTCTCTCTCTCTCTCTCTCTCTCTCTCTCTCTATCTCTCCGCGT